TGTTTCATCTGGTGATGAAACACTGCATCTCATGTTTGATATATTACTTTAAAAGAGTCAATGTTCATACAGTTTCTAAGGCTAGATGGCAGAAATAATAATAGTAAAAGAATATAAAATTACAAATTAAAAGCTTTCTTAAAAAGATAAGTCTTCAACTGTACTTTAAAAGAGTCAATGTTCCTACAGTTTCTAAGGCTAGATGGCAAAGCATTCCATACTGTTGGTCCAGCATGGAAAAAGGTTCGATCGCCAAAAGTCTTCCGTGTCACCTTAGGGATTACAAGCAATGTTTCAGAATCAGACCGCAGGCTGTAACCAGTTCTAGGCTTTACAACAAGTAGTTGAGATAAATATTGTGGCGCCAGGCCGTTCAACGTTTTAAAAACTAAAAGCGCAATCTTAAATTCTACTCTAAATTTCACTGGCAACCAATGAAGTTCCTTAAGTACCGGAGTAATATGGGCAAACTTAGGAATTAAGCATGTAACCCGAGCCGCCGCATTAAGAACTTTTTGAAGTCGGTCATATTGATATTGCGGAAGCTTATACAAAAGAGCGTTGCAATAATCTAAATGTGATGTAACAAACGCATGAATTAAACACTTCGTTGATTCTGCAGACAGATATTTCCTAATTTGCCTAATATTATAAAGCCCCCTACATGCCTTACTACACACCTTTCCTATATGAATATTCATAGCAGACATATGGTTATCAAACCATGTGCCAAGATTCCTAACATGCTTAAGGGGTTAAATGTCACAGTCACCAACTTTAATTGAAGCCATGGTAACCTTAGATAACTGCTGCGACGAACCGATGATTAGAAATTCTGTCTTTGAATCATTAAAAATCAACCTGTGTGAGACTAACCAAGCCCTAACATCAGCTATGCAGTTCTCAATAGCCTTAATCGCTTGTCTTGAGCAGCAAACGAATCTGGGCGAAACGACACGTACAACTGAGTATCATCAGCGTACCCATGAACTGATGGAAGGTGCTCCTACTTTATGAAGACACGTTCAATCAAAATCTAGAGACCCAATAGAAGAATACGTGGACGGGAACATTTATCGTTTATCATGTCAAGTAAATTATTTTATCACTAACCTGCTGATTTTGTTAATGCTTTTAGCGCGTCCTGCACACGACACAAATGAATGAATGAATAAATAATAAATAAATAAGGGTTAGTTATAATAAGTTGCAATAAAGGTGAGTTATAATTTGTGATTCGAAGCACAATTATTAACAACAGCGTTTAAATCTGTAAAAGAAAATATTTTATCGCTAGTATCCGCTTAATAGATATGTCCCCTATTACAGATTTATTTTAAATAACAGTGTGAAACTCAATGGTATCCGTGCCTGCTAATAGATAAGGCGTCCAGCTTTATAATGGAGTTGTTGGGTTCTAAGCCGCGTAGCGAGCGTTGAACGTGGAAAGGGAATAGGACAGAAGGAAGAAATAGAGGGGGATTGGGGAAGAGGGTCCCGTTTTCCTTTCGCGTTTTAGTTCCTCTTCCCGTCCCGAGGCTTTTTGCGCCTGCCTTACAGGTTATTGAGTTTGTGCAATACAGCTTCAATGTACACAACAAGGTTGTTGTCACCGAAAACCTTGGATCAGTCCTACAGTTCCATCTAATAGACATCGAGAAATCTTCAGATGTTTACAGCTGACAACGATGCATTAAAGGAGCTACTTCACGTACTGCGCATGCTCGGATTCTGACGATCATCTTGAAAAAGTTGGTCCAACCTTTTCAAGTCTGTCGAACGGCTCGGTATTCCAAGTTCATCTTAATATATGTGAGACATCCTTGAGCAGTTTGCCCGGCTATATATTCGTAACCAATGTATAGCCCTTCTACTAGGTTTCAGTGTGGTTTTCGTTTCTAATCGGCTTATTTGAGGTCATTTTTCGGAGCTTGAAAAATGTCCTCTCATGGCGGTCGACTATCAGGAAGCGGCCGGAAGAAAATATTTAACAGCTATATTTAGAATGCAACAAAAAAATTAGAAACTAATCCAAGAGTCCTCCGCGACTCGCCGGGTTGGTGAAGTTACCACTACAGAAATCAAAAAACCTCATCGAACTTATTCTATTTCATACGCGCACGCGGTCAAAATCTATGCCCAAAACCTGTCAAAGGAGCAAAGTACCACACCCTTTTTCGAATATGCCTTAATAGAGATACTCCACAGTCTTTGATGTGCACTACACCCAAATGAAAGCTTTTAAAGCTTCATGTTTTACTTAAAATTATAGACGTTCGTCTGTGGTACTGTGGTGTGTTACTTCGCCCCGCTCAGTTTTACACGTTATGACTGTAGCGATTGCATGGTATCAGTAGCCCATCAAGATGGTATACATGTATATAGTGTCCCCTACGACATGAACGTAAAGCAAAACGATTCATCAGAAATGAAGACCACCAGCCTATCGCCCTCAAAGGGAAAACCAGTATCTCCCGCCAATAACGCTTAAGTCACCGATCGCTTCCATTAGGTGTAAATCAAACACTACCCCTCTCTCCAAAACATTTGCACCCCCACCCCTCTCCTAGCCAACATACCAGTCTTTACCTATAGTGCAACGCAAGGACGGTTAATTTGCTTCAAATTATTCGTCAAAAGGCAATCGTAACCTCTTTTTAATGCTAATCCTGTAATTATTTAAACTGCATAACCTTCTAAAATATAGTATATCTTTATCCAAGGTAAGAACGCTTAAGTCTGTCAAACATTTAACAAAATATATTTGTTCTTCTGAAGCGCTTATTTAAAAGTTGCATAGCAGTGGCAGTCAATAGTTAATTTATTTGCATCTTGTTCATAAAATACGCTAAACGAGGAAAGGTAATACCAGGCTCTCTCCTGCACTCCAAAGAGATGGAAATTGTGGCGAGGGAACCTGGGTACGGTTGCATAAAACGCCCGTAACAATAACAGGTAAACAGTATCTTGTTTAAAGTAAAATAAAATAAATTTTACCAACGTTAACGAGAACTTTTACTGAGGAGTGAGAAAAGTTTTTCTTGCTTGGCATTTTCTTTATACTCACCAATGGTTAACTTAAAAAAAAATTGAGTGAGTCAAGTTAATAAAGTACTATAAAAAAATTACCATGTGCCCCTAAGTGAGCCCCTAAGTTACCACGTAGAAAAGAAAATTAGGAGAGTGCCAAGTGCGTTCCATACAACACCCGTAAGTAAAAGCGGATTCGTAGGTGACCCGACTTAGGTGAGCACTTCAGTGCAGGTTTTATGCAAGCGGACCCTGGGGAAGTAGGCAAGTTCTTACCCCCCAGATGTTCAACTGCATTTTCACCAAAACATGCATCCAGCTACATGAAAAAAAAAATCACTCATTCTAGAATTATGATGCACCAAACTGATATAAATGATTGCTAGAAGCAAGCTATTGCCGGATGTATAATAGGCGATGTACAATCTCTCTCTTAACCTGCATTTAAAATAGACGGACATCTCGCTAAATTAAAAACTTAAGAGTTGACCTCGGCCGTTTTTCAGTCATTTTCCTTTGATTTTCTATTGGGCAGACAACTTTCGTGTCCATCTCCGATGGAGTTGAGTGTATAACTGTTCGATTGCTCACTCTCTCTGTTGCGGTTGGGTGAAAGCACAAGACTACAAAGTGCCATATCTAAACAAAAAAAACAGTCATACGTATACACAGAAAGCAAGAAGCTAAACCCGGCTGTGAATAATGAATCAATGAGTTCCCCTCTAATAAAATATAATAGTTTATATGTTTGTAAAATTCAGAAAAAAACAAATCATCGCTACCTTGCGATAGCCGAACGTTGTACTCGTGAACTTATGGCTATTTAAATTCCAAGCAAAAGCTTCTCTTTGGGTTTAGCGTTTATGAAGTCGTTCGCGTCGCTGTCAGTCGTGTTGTTGGTTTGTTTTATACTCCTGGATCATTTAAAAGAAACCAACTACTTGACTGGCATACGATGGGAACGACTTCGTAAAGCGCTAAAAGCCATACAAGAGAGAAACCTCTGCTCGCAGGGTAATGGCCTTTCTTTCAACAGACAGACGTTTTTCGTGTTTAAGGTCTGTAAATAAGAAGCGTGTCTTTCAAATAACAAAGCCGAGACAATGTATCGCAGTCAGTATTATTTGCTAGCATATCAAATGGTACTGTTTAATTATCTTAAATGGTTTATAGCAGTAAAATACACCATATTAGTTCACAGAACACAGTGGCTCTCAGAGCTAATGGAAAACATGAACACAGTCTAGATCAGTATCAGTAACAAACAAATATCCAGTATTGGAGATGACAGCATAACGAGGAAAGGCATCCTCAAAAAAACTTCCAGCTATCTTAGCGATATACTTTCCAACAAGAGTGAAAAGTTGCAGTCTACTGTTTCCAGCATCGCAAACGATCAAACGGTTAAACTTGTCAATAACGAGACCAGTGGGTTTCAAGAACTGCCCGTCAAAAGATCCCTTGCTGCCAATGTCATATAGATACTCCCCTGCGTTGTTAAATACCATGACACGACAGGCAGAAGAAAAAGAAGCAAAGAATTTGTCCTGGTGATAAACGACACAGTCCGGGGTGTTATCACAACCTGTGGCTTTGAACGACTGAAGTAAGTTTTTCCCATCAGCTGTAAGAACTTTGATTGTCTCGTCATAAGCGTCACTAGTGATAATGCGACCATCACTGGAGACAGATACGTACCTCGGATTCTTTACATGTTCACCACCGATGTAGCTGATAAACTGACCACTTTCAGAATAAAGAAAAATGCTGCTGTCAACAAAAACATGGACAAGGAGGTCACCTGACTCGGTAAAAGCCAACGAACGAGGGACACCCTTCAGTGGAATCTCTCTGAGGAAATTCCCTTCAAAGCCAAACATCTGAACTCTGTTATTGTTTACATCAGCAATTGTAAGTATTCTTCTTTTATCATTCACAGCAATACCCCAAGGCCAGTTAAACTGTCCTTGCTCTTTTCCTCCTGATCCAAATTGAAACGCAAATTGATACTTATGCGGAATCACCTGCACAACCCAGGGACTACCAGTCAGCGGCTGTCCATTAACTTGGATCTCTACTCTTTGTTGTCCAACACACTGTGGTGTGTATCTTACTGTGTACTTGCCGTCTTCGGTGTCTTTTATCTCTGTTTCCAGTTGATCACCTGCGGGATTTAATATATTGACTTTAATCACATCCTCTTCATGATAACACTGTTCCTCATCCGAGTTTCGGGTTACAATGGTAAAATTTGTTTCCGTTTTTTCTCTTACATCTTTCAGACTTGCCACTTCAGCCAACGACAGCGAAGAATCTGTGTCACTGACAACAATACGATCCAAAATCTTCACTTTCTGTTCAACCATATAACTTACGTGTGAAGGCTTATAAATGTCAGGTTTTCTGGCTTTTAGAAGTTCTTCACAGCGTTTAATAATAGCTCGGTTTGTTTGCAGAATTTCAGCACTGATGTTTCTTTGTGCGATAGTCTCTCCTTGTTCAACGCAACTTTTCAGTTGAGTCAAAACCAACTCAAAGTTTTCTAGTTGTGTTGCGTGATGTTTTTGTTGCGCTTCATAAATCTCACCAAATTTGGTTTTCATCATCCTCTCATGTTCCCGCAAATCGCGAATCAAGTCTTCCACTAAATCTGTCATCTTCTTTTCGCACGACATAATTTCTTTCTTGTTCTTATCCATTAACTCGGTTTGTTTCCGTACTTGTTTCTGGTAAACAACGGTTTCCGCTTTCACTTTCTCCAAAGCGTCCATCATTTGCGTCTTTTGTACTTGTGCAGCTTTCTGAGTGTCTGTCATGGTGTGTCGATTATGGCTAACTACACTGCACTTGTGGCAAATAAGAACTTTGCATTCTTCGCAATAAAATTCCAGCGGCTGATTTTCGTGATATTGCTGTGAACACATGACAGGTCTGTGGATCAAATCTTCCACATCTTGTGCTTGTAATTTCTCTATCACAACATTGCGATGACCTCTTGTGGCCTTCAAGCGTTGGTGAGCTTCAAAACAAGCAGTGCAAAGAAAGTTCTGGCACACGAAACAGTAAGAGGAAGCAGTGTTGTTCTCATCACAACTGCCACATTTTTGGGCCTCTGCGCCGCTATCTTTAAGAGCCAGAACATCCACCAATTGGTTGAGATGACAAGAAGTGGGCAAGTTCTTGAAAGAGTCGCCTTCGGGGATTTGAAAAGATGTCTGACAAACCGGACATTTGATCGTCGCTTGCAGCTGCCTTCTGGCGAAGCCTGCATGTTTGTCGAGACACTCAAGGCAGAATGAGTGAAGACATGGCAAAGTCTTGGGCTTGTTAACTGTCTCTAAACAGAACGGACACTCTGCTTCTTTCTGAAGATTTCTGAAGAGTTGTTGCACATCCATGGTCGGCCCAATATGGGTGGAATGATTATGCGTAACTTGATCAGAAATGAACTGTTCTCATGGACCTTGGACTTTCTATTTTCATGTAACAGTCGAAATTCTAGCGCGCCCATTGGTCGACAGTTATTGTCTATGACAACGACTGTCGTGGTACCTTTTTTACACTTGAGTGTAGCGTAATCACGTGCGTGATTTTCCGAGAAATTTTGCCGGAATCATGGATATCCAAGGCTTTAGACTGTTCACAGTCCTCTATTTTTCCGTAAGATCGACGAGATCGAGCGCTTTGCGTTACGGGCTTCTATCTTGCGGGAGTGTCAAAACTACAGCTATAAACCCCGACGCCCGCCCCCTCGGTACATTTGAAAATAAAGAGGGCCGTCATTGACGGTAAGACGCGCTATATCCGAACGATCTCACGAAAAAATAGGGGACTGTGAACAGTCTACCAAGGCTCGGAATAGATAGATCGTCATCGTTTTTGCGAAGTTGTAATTTGAGTGCCACCAATCCTTTGAGGATTTGAGCATAGTATTCCGGCTTTTCAACTCAACTACTGGCTGGAACTGAACTTTAACGGTGGATCGTTAAACTTTAAAGGAAAGGCCTTTGTGATTTGTGGGTTCCTGGTGATTTATAAAAAAACTACATTTGTAACGATTTGCAAACAAATCTCCATATCTTGCATTTAGCTGATAGTCTTATTTTTGCACCTAAAAATTAGGAATCTTGCTCAAACTTCGTTGCTTAAATCCTCTTGCTTTAACTTTAACTCTCCATTTCGAGTGGCGAGCGAAGCGAGTTGCAAGAGAAGGCGCGAGCGACAGGGGAGCAGGAAAAGGAGAATTCGTTTCTTTCTCCACCCCTCGCACTCACGTCTCCTCTCGCGTGCGGCTCTCGCGTGACTTTTCGCGACTCCTCCAAAGGAGAGCTTGCTTACAGGCTAACTTAAACTCGCAATCATACACCTACTTGCTTTTTTTAATGTTAATAGGTAAGCCCCTTAATTTATGTAATAATGGCCAGTGTTACAAAATACTCGTCTCTTCAGCAGCTGTCAGCTTACACATTGGGATTTATGGGAGCGATCTCTTTGTTTAAAGGAAAGGCCAATATAAACAGACCTAATTTTTCTGGCCATTTTTATTTTACTTCAAAAATTGGACATGCGTCGTTGAAACCAGGCCCTTTATTTTTTTACCGTATTATCTACCTTAGCCTTCGGCTTCGGCAGATAACACAGACCTCGCTTATGATAATTCATGATATCATGCTCAACCTCATCCAATAATTGTTTAATAAATCTTCAACGGTAGCCTGATTTTGGTTTCGTCGATAGCAGATTTCTATGCGTCCTTTCTTGAGTACAAGGAAATTTCCCGAGGTTGATTCTAGGTTTCACTAACCGTTGATAAAACTGCGCAGGTCGACAAATGAAAACGTCCATTTGATTAATGTTAAACTTATCACTTTTTTTCAGGAGTGCATGGGCTCCTGTTTTTTCCCTTAGAAGTTTCCGTAGCATCAATAACCAGTCAAAAGTGTTAAGTGAATTTCACACCATTATTTTAGGAAATTCGCCGGAGAGCAGAGAGTGGCTGACCTTAATCCGAATGAAGTCATTTTAGACTGGGACGAGGCTCGTTTAATGGTTACCAGACCATAGCTCTCCTCCACACACACACGCAGAGGTTTTTACTGCTTCGTTACGTGTTCCTTCCTTTCGTCTGCGTGGGAGGCTACCGGACCATCGATATTCTGTTCCCATATAAAGAAGAGAAGTATGCCAAGCACTGATTAAGTTTTCTTTCCTTTCATATGTCCCTGGGTAGATGAACGAAACACGTCTCGATGAATGAATGCATTTTTCTCTACTTACGGACCAACCCTTTAGGCCCTAGGAGTGATCAGTGTCAAATTTCTCCTTGTAATATCTGTGCTTTAAAAAAAGAGTGGTCATGAGAATTAAGGACATGATCACACAAGATGAATCTAGTTGATACTTCAACAAATTCTCCCTACTACTTCTATTGAAAACGTATATAGATAAGAGATGAGAATTTAAATGTTGATGTTGGGGTTTAAAGGGTCAACACAGCACATAAGACTAATACAAGCCCCCGGGGATACTTGGAGAGACTCAACGGAGAGACTCCACCCCGAGGTCCAAACACTGATACCGTTTTATATACCGTTTTTGACAGAAAAGGAATTCCTTTCGTTTACGTTCTACCGACAAACGATACCCCTTTCACATACCAATTTACAGCAGTTTAAAAACTGCTGTAAATGCACCGTATTTTATAAATAGACAAATAAACCACTTAACCAAGAAGTTTGTCCCTTAAAAATCTGTGTACATCTGTCAGCCCTTTTGGTCGTGAAGCCTGAAAAAGGTACCCCTTACAGGCCACTGTAGAGAGTACCACTCCCTCCGGTCCCTCACCCCGAGCAAACCAAATCATCGGAATTAGAAAAGCAAAAACGGCTGTCTAGTATTCCTTCCTAACCGGAGATCGAGCCTGGGATATCCAGCCCTGCAGACCAGGCAAGGGTTCCTGAGGGACTGATTAGCGTTAAACATTGTAAATCTGTGAATAAATTTTTCAATATTTAACTGTGCTTACCTTCCATTAGATTATTTTAGATTATAGCTTTTAATTATCGTAACAGAATAAAATGTTTTCAAAACCAAATATCTCTTCGCATGAGAAAACAGCCTACAAATCGTGACATCATCAACGGTTTCCCCGCGAAATGACGTCTAAGGAAGAGCGCCCAAATCCCATACCGATGACGTGGCATTACCCAGGTCTCGGTAGTGCTACATTCAACCAATCAAAAGCACTCCCCAGATTAGGGTAGTGACACGTCATCAGTGGGGACATTTCTGCGCTCGTTCCACCTCACGAGACGTCGGCTGTTTTCTCAGGTTAGGGATATCTCTAAGCAGGGAGTTTTAAAAATGTGTCCTAATTAACCCCGGATGTTCGACTTGACCAACCTTAAAGGAACTGGTCCCTGCAGCACCCTCCCAACTGAACTAAATTAACCACGCCGTGTCACGAGCGTGTCACAAGCTTGCCAAAAGCGTAATCAGGACAATGTCCTCCGGATCGGGGAAGAGGGTACCCTTTTGCTTTTCGCGCTTTTCTTCCTCTCCCCCTCCCGGGGCTTTTTTGCGCCTGCATTACAGGCTAATGAGTTCGCGCAATACAGCTTCACTGTGCACAACAAGGTTGTTGTCGCCGAAAAACTCGGATCAATCCTTCAGTTCCATCGCAAAGACATCGAGAAAACTGCAGATGTTTACAGCTGACCACGATGAATCAACAACAGCTCACATAGAATACAACGCAAAATGAGAATTGTCTCTAATTAAAAGAGTCCTTCGCGACTGGCCGGTGTTCGCGAAGTTACCTCATACCCGCACACGGTTAAAATCTTTGGCTTTATTACCAGCCGTAAAATAAGCCCGCGCTCCTCGGCGGAAATCAAGCCTATTAAAATTTATGCCCATGTCAAAGGAGTCAAGTTTTACGTACGTGTACTCTTAATTTAAGTGAGTTGCATCAAATTATTAAAGAGGTCCACTTAGGGCAGTCCCTTACAAGACAAGAAATATGGTATTCACGCCACCGTTTCGGAAGAGCAAGAGGCGTTTCTTTCAAATAACAAAACCGAGACAATGTATCGTAGTTATTATTTGCTGGCCTGTCAAATGGTACTGTTCAATTATCTTAAATGGTTCATAGCAGTAAAATATGTTACCACACAGTGAGAACACAATGGCTCGCTCACATAGCTAATGGAAAACATAAACACAGTCTCGACAAGAATCAGTAACAAACAAATATCCAGTATTGGAGATGACAGCATAACGAGGACGACCTCCCTTAAAAAATCTTCCATCTATCTGAGTGATATACGTTCCTTCAAGAGTGAAAAGCTGCAATCTCTTGTTTCCCGCATCGCAAACGATCAAACGGCTAAACTTGTCAATAGCGAGACCAGTGGGATTCGAGAACTGTCCGTCACCAGATCCTTCGCTTCCAATGTCATGTAGATACTCTCCTGCTTCGTTAAATACCATGACTCGACAAGCAGAAGAAAAGGAAGCAAAGAATTTCTCCTGGTGATAAACGACACAGACCGGGGTTTCATCACAATCCGGGGCTTTGAACGACCGAAGTGATTTTTTTCCATCAGTTGTAAGAACTTTGATTCTCTTGTCGCTGATGTCACTTGTGATTATGCGACCATCACTGATAACAGATACGTACAAAGGATCCTTTACATCTTCATCACCGATGCATCTGATAAACTGACCATTTTCAGTAAAGAGAGCAATTCTGCTCTTCGACAAGTCAAGAGAAACACGGAAAAGGAGGTCACCTGACTCGGTAAAAGCCAACGAATAAGGGTTACCCTTCAGTGCAATCTCTCTGAGGAAATTACCATCAAAGCCAAACATCTGAATTCTTTTATTATAACGATCAGCAACAGCAAGAATTCTACTTTCATCATTCACAGCAACATCCCAAGGAATGTCAAACTGTCCTTGCTCTTTCCCTTTTGATCCAAACTGAAACGCAAATTGATAATGCGGAATTACCTGCACAGTCCAGGGACTACCAGTCAGCGGCTGTCTATTCACTAGAATCTCTGCTCCATGTTGTCCAACACACTGTGGTGTGTATGTTACTGTGTACTTGCCGTCTTTGGTGTCTTTTATTTCTGTTTCCACTTGAACACCTGCGGGACTCAATATGCTGACTTTAATCACATCCTTTTCATGATAACACTGTTCCCCATCCGAATTTCGCGTTACAATGGTAAAATTTGTTTCCGTTTTTTCTCTTACATCTTTCAGACTTGCCACTTCAGCCAACGACAGCGAAGGATATGTGTCACTGACAACAATACAGTCCAAAATCTTCACTTTCTGTTCAACCATATAACTTACGTGTGAAGGCTTATAAATGTCAGGTTTTCTGGCTTTTAGAAGTTCTTCACAGCGTTCAATAATTGCCTGGTTTGTTTGCAGAATTTCAGCACTGATGTTTCTTTGTACGATACTCTCACCTCGTTCAACGCAACTTTTCAGTTGAGTCAAAACCAACTCAAAGTTTTCTAGTTGTGTTGCGTGATGTTTTTGTTGCGCTTCATAAATTTCAGCGAATTTGGTTTTCATGATCCTCTCATGTTCACGCAAATCGCGAATCAATTCTTCCACTAAATCTGTCATCTTCTTTTCGCAGGACAGAATTTCGTTTCTGTTCTTGTCCATTAACTCGGCTTGTTTCCGTATATTTTTCTCGTAGATAATGGTTTCCGCTTTCACTTTCTCCAAAGCGTCCTTCATTTGCATCTTCTGTACTTCTGCGGCTTTCTGAGTGTCTGTCATGGTGTGTCGATTATGGCTAACTACACTGCACTTGTGGCAAATAGGAACTTTGCATTCTTCGCAATAAAATTCCAGCGGTTGATTTTCGTGATATTGCTGTGAACACATGACAGGTCTGTGGATCAAATCCTCCAAATCTTGTGCTTGCAATTTCTCTATCACAACATTGCGATGACCTCTTGTGGCCTTCAAGCGTTGGTGAGCTTCAAAACAAGCAGTGCAAAGAAAGTTCTGGCACACGAAACAGTAAGAGGAAGCGGTGTTGTTCTCATCACAACTGCCACATTTCGGGGCCTGTGTGCCGCCAACGTTAAGGGCCAAAACATCCACCAGTCGGTTGAGATGATAAGATGTGGGCAAGTTCTTGAAAGAGTCGCCTTCGGGGATTTGAAAAGATGTTTGACAAACCGGACATTTGATTGTCGCTTGCAGCTGTCTTCTTACGAAGCCTGCATGTTTGTCGAGACATTCGAGGCAGAATGAGTGAAGACATGGCAAAGTCTTGGGATTGTTAACTGTCTCTAAACACAGCGGACACTCTGCCTCTTTCTGAAGATTTCTGAAGAGTTGTTGCACATCCATGGTCCAATATAGGTGGGATGATTATGCGTAACTTAGTCAGAACTGTAATTTTGCAATGGACTGCTACCTTTCATTGTTTCAAAATTAATAGTAAATTCCGCACGATGACTGGCCGACAGCTACTGTATGGCAGTCAATTGACAACGAATTTTCTTTTAAATTTAAGTGACGCGTGATTTTCCGAGAAAATTTGCCGGAATCACTGGTACCCAAGGCTTTGAATAGAAAGATCGTGGTCGAGATAACCGTTGGAAGATATACTTCTAGCCTCGATCTTCTATGGAGGTCGTATTTCCTTCCTACTCCCCTTGTTGTGAGGGAGGGGAGGGGGAGGGGCTATTGAGCGACGCGATTATATTCTAATTCGCGATTATATTCTAATTCGCCACCCTCCCCTCCCCCAAACGAATATAAAACATTTATCATGTAATAAGCAACCACAATTGGGGTGCGACCCTCTTTATTATGATTCAACAACCAGAACGAAAACTCGGGAATTTAAAAAATTCAGCTGGAAAACCACCCTACAAAACGATCTAAATTATGCTCGTATAACTATGATACGGTAAACGTGCTAAACCTTTCATATAGCAGCATGAAAAAACTACATCTAAATAAAATTAATGATTACATCTAAAACATTGTCAACTGTCTGCTTTTTAACAGTACCTCATGTTGTTCAAAGCTGGGTTAAGATAACCCAGGCGAGGAGGGTTAGTGCGAAATTTAAACTCAGATGTGAAAGCTTCATTTTGCCAACAAGTTGTGGACGCTCTTAAAAATAACTGAGAAAATTATCCAAAGAAATGTTTTTTAACAAAAGAAAAAGAAACCCGGCTTAAGCACTGATCGGCCTTCGAACAACTGCGCCCTGTAGAGCATCTATAATGCGCCAGTAAAGCAAAAGGTTCTTTGTACACGCCCGAAGCACTCTGGCCAGTGTCTCCTCAAATAACAAGCACTTGAGACGAACCATACGATATCACGCTGATAACTAGCCTTCAAAACCTTTTCATTAACATACCGCACAGTTTAAATCGAGGTTTCGCTGTACGCAACCCTTACGTTCAAAATATGCCATAATCATAGTTATCTATCGTAAGAACCATCCGCCTTTTCCCCTCAACTGCTACCTGTGCGCCTGGCAAACATATTGAACGCACTCTCCTAAGCTCCGATTACTCCTAATACTATTTCTAAAACCCTTGAAAGATCGTATATTTCTATATGAATCGGGTATTGAGTTCCATAGTTTCGGCGCTGTAAACGGGTTTACCTCAGTGTAAGAACCTGTGAACTTTTTCTTTATTTCGCACCTTTTGTTTTTCCACGTTCTATTGTGTTGACTTCTTTGATTCCTCTGTTTTACGTCACTTGTGAGTTTAACAGGTTCTCACACCGAGGATGAGCCCTGTAAACCACCACGATTTAAGGCCTTATGTTGAAGAGTTGGCCATTGGCCGCTTTAAAATATCATTTCCCCTGCAGAGGTCGTGTTTATTGTTTCTTTGTTCACTGAAAACTGGACATGCTATTTTATCGAAGCGTTGATTGACAAGTGATGGTAAACCCAGAAAAGGCACTCTTTTCATTTACGTTCTACCGACAAATGATACCCTTTTCATGCACATACCAAGTATAGAATTTGCATCCACTTAAACTGCTGTAAATCAACCGTATTTTAGAAATGAATAAATCAGTTAAACAAGAAGTTAATTTGTCTCTTTTAAATCTGTCTGCGCCTGTTAGCCTTTTTGGTCCTTTTATAAATGATAGGTATCTCTAACCTTAGTTCATAGAATTCAGCTAATGAAATACCTACACCTTCATTTACCTGGAGCCGAAAAAGGAAACACCGTACAGGTCATTATAGAGAGTACTCCCCCACCTCCCCGTCCCAACAAGCCAAATCATCAGAGTGAGAAAAGCAAAAACGGCTGTCTGTAATGTCAATGTAATTCAATACTACCACAGGAAACTCTTTTTTTTTTCAGCCGAAACTGGAGATGTCCTTTTGCAACGTCGCGTGCTTAGCCTAACCAACCATCAGAGATCAGACCCAGCAAACATACCATTTGACTTTTGAGGGGAGGGGATATGGGTGATTATCCCGTAGACTGGATTCGAAGGGAAAAAAAATGACTTGCAAGGAAATACCTTGGGAAAAAACTTTCCTGCATCGAAAACAACTCTCATGACGTATAATGCTTGAAAACAATCTAGAGGTTTGCGAAAAGAAATTCTTCTCGCTTTAACCAAACCTCCCACATCCCCGTCAAAAGTCAAATGGTCGACCCCTAAATATACAAAGGAAGGTTCCTTAAAAAGGAAACGGCCTTATGAGTAGCACTAAGTGCTGTTATCAATGAGGGTCAAGGAAGACATTGGAACCCATTATATCCCAGAAGCCAGTTAACTGCTCCACCCACTGACCAACGAAAAGTTTCACATACGGCTAAGCCATTTATTGATTCCTCCGTGACGTCAAGCGAATTTGCATCAACATGCAAGGAAGAGTAATAAAACAAGCATTCCTTGTGGTGTAATGAAAAATATGTACGGTAAATTGTAACCTGGGATAAAAATAAAGAAAGCTGAACTGAGCGCAAAAAGATCTAAACTTGTTCACACCTTATTTCCCTTGTGCTGATGTTTGTGATACTTGAAGCTCTTCAATGGATCCAATTTACGTTTCTGATATCATTCCAAGTAATCGATTAAAAGAGGATACTTGAAGTGTAAGACGCCGAGTACTGTCGGATCTCTCTAATACGGACACTAAAGAGTGTCCGTATAAGAGAGGTGTCCGATAAGGATGTCACCACGATAACCTAAACTTGAAAGACTCATCTGACGGTTTCAAGTAAATAAAAACAGGCGCACATTTGTCTTCAGAGTGAATCTAAAGTAGACTGTTCACAAAGGTTTCTTCTCTTTCTGTGGAAAATTCGACATCACGCTTGTGATCAATAAATCTTTGCAGTTTTTATTTACCTCTACGAGTTCTTGATGACCTCTGTAAAGAGAAAATAGAGGGTCTGTAAACATGTTACAAACTGGCTTGCCAGTTTGAGATGCTATTTCTTATGGGCATTTCTCTTTCAACTCACCACATGGTTAAAAGGTTCTAACATTCATTATACTATTCACCATTTTCACTGAGACCATAATGCACCTTGTTTACCCAACAATATTTTACAGGACCATTTTTCCAATCGACCTTTTTAGTTTGTATGTTTTGTTTTCCCTTTCAGATCACGTGATGGTACCCCAGAGAACTGTTTCTTTCAAATGTCGTCTTATGCAAGTGCATCCACGTGCACATGCATGCATAATTAATGAAAAGACGAAAGGCAAATTCCCTGGATAATATCACGTGGTCTTAATTGGGAAAACGAAACAAACCGGCTAAAAAGGTTGTTTTCTCCTGGGTATTACAGACCCCAACAGAAATTGAAAACAATGGCCGTTGTCATGCAACATTTTTGTTTAAAAGGGGGCGGGGGGTTGGGGGGATAAACAAGCTGCATTATCCGGTCTCGTTGAAATAGTCAATTCCCCTTTTCTTGATGAGTTACTTTCACACAGAATCTCTGTTTCCAAAGTATTTAAACTATAATTAAATGCTAACATATTAACATATCTTTAATTAGTATATACTAAAACAGTGGTTGGTGTTTTTCTCGCGCTCTGATTGGCTACTCAGTCAGTAAATATCCAATGCTATTCACTGATTCTCCTCCAGTTTCTCCGAGCGATCAACGCCAAACTCGCGTACGTTACGAGTAAAATGGCTTCCCGGTTTGCTGCCACACCAAACAAAGAAATTTCACAAATAATCAATCAAGCTGTTCCCAAAATACACGAAGAAGGTGACGAAGTTCGGTTTGGAAGTATTATCATGCAAAGCTATGTCTTTATGATTTAAATTTATCGATGAAACCCGTGAAAAAGTTTTTTGTTTACAAACGCAAATTAAGCTTAAGTCTTGTGTTACTTTATTTAGTTGACTTGTTCATAAATAAGCTTAAAACTAAATTTAAAAATCTTTTCTACAGATGCTGAATAATTTTAAATAAAAAAGGGAATCACAACTCCTTTTGAAGAAAATTCTCTGCAAGAGCTAAACAAATTAAATGCTTTCAAAAGTTTTATTTGTCGGCAAGAAAAAACGACGGCCGCGGCCGTTCAGTCATTGCGCGCCAAAATTCTAATCGTTGGCAACAATAAATGAGTTAAAATTCATTATATTTGTGCTCAATTATCTCACTATTTTAGTATATACTAAAACAGTTATTCACCTTAGTGTCCGTAGCAAGTGGTGAATATGCACCTTGCCGCTTCGCGGCTCGGTACACCTCGCCAACACTAGCCTCCTCCACTTCGGTGAATAATTGTTATCTATCAGTAACCTGCTGATTTTGTTACTGCTTTTAGCGCGTCCTGCAAACGACACAAATAAAATAAATAAATAAATAAAAAATAAATAAGGGTTAGTTATAATACGTTGCAATAAAGCTGAGTTATTATTTTTAATTCGAACCACAATCATTATCATTTGAATTTGCAAAAGAAAATATTTTGTCGCTAGTATCCACTTAATAGATATATCCGCCATTATACAGGTATATTTTATTCCAGATCAAGAAATAACAGAGTGAAACTCAATGGCATCCGCGCCTGCTAATAGATAATGTGTCCCTCTATATAATGGAGTTGTTGGGTTCAGGCCTGTGTGGCGAGTGTTGAAAGGGGAGGGAACTGGAACACTGAAAATGGAGAAAGAAGAGGGGGATTGGGGAAGAGGGTCCCCTTTCCCTTTTCGCCCTTTTCTTCCTCTCTCTCTCCCGGGGCTTTTTGCGCCAGCCTTACAGGCTATTGATGTTCGTGCAATACAGCTTCACTGCATACAACAAGGTTGCTGTCGCCGAATATATTGGATCAGTCCTTCAGTTCCATCTCAAAGACATCGAGAATACTGCAGATCAGTGTTTACAGCTGATAACGATGCATCAATAATAGCTGACGTAGAATACAACAGAAAAAAAGAACTGTCCCTCATTATATGAGTCCTCTGCGAGTCGCAGGGGGTTCCTGAAGTTACCACAGAAAGCAAAAAAAAACTTATCGAACTTATTCTATTTGATACCCGCACGAGGTTAAAATCTTAGGCTTTATTACTAGCCGCTGTTCGGGAAATGAGCCCGCGCTCCCACCATACCCTATGGCGCCGAATATACTATAATAGAGAGACTCCAAAGTCTTTGATGTACCGCTACACCCAAATGAACGCGTTGAAAGCTTCTTGTTTTACTTAGAATTATAGACGTTCGTGTGTGGTACTGTCAGAAGTGCCTTACTTCGCCCCGCTGAGTTTTTCTATTATACGTTATGACCCCCCCCCTCCATTCCCCACGATTCATCATAAATGAAGACTCTAGTCCTCTAGTCCTCAAAGGGAAAACCTCTCTCCTGCCAATAACGCATACAGCTATTTCGAGAAAGGTTGCCGGAAAAAGTGCACGCGACAATGCCGAAAGGTATTGTGGGTGGGTTTGAGTTTACTGTTCTTCAAAGAAATTTGCAAGAATGGCACGAGAGGCCATGGACTTATGTTTGCAAGTGCTAACGGCAAGTAACAATAGTAGGTTCGACACAAGAGCCATAATAGGTTCTATTATGGCTCTTGGTTCGACAGCTACAGTGTCAGGAACATGGTATTGATCATATCCCACATCACCTTTCGGGATTGTCGTTTGCACATTTTTTCCGACAACTTTTCTCGAAATAGCTGTATGTCACTGATCGCTTCCATTTAGGTGTAAATCAAACACTGCTCATCTTGCGATCCAAACCATTTTGCTTTCAAGTGCTTAAAGGTAAGAACGCTTAAGTCTATCAAACATTTAATAAAATATATTTGATTTGAAGTGCTTCTTTAAAAGTTGCATAGCAGTGGCAGTCAATAGTGAACTTATTTTCATAAAATAAGGTAAACGATGTAAGGTAATACTTGACCTTGCCGCCCATCAGGTCTCTCTTGCCTTCTCTCTTGCCTCGAAGGAGATGAAAATAATGGGAGGGAACAAGAGGGAACCTTGGGACAGTTGCATAAAACGCCCATTTGGGGGTTGTTGCATAAAACGTTTTACACGGGAAAAATAGCGCGTAAATTTAAGGTACTTGTGTGTATCCTTACTGTTTTTACCAACGTTAACGAAGTCGTTTACTGAGAAGTGAAAAAGCAGGTTTTATGCAATCGGGCCCCTGGGGAAGTAGGCAAGTTTCTACCTCATTAAGGTACTAACCAGTGCTCGCTTCATGTTCTTCCAAATTTTAAGCGTAAATATTAGGCAATGAACAATCTCTCTCTCGCGGCTTTTTTTTGTTTTCAAGACTACAAAGCGTCATATTTCATTAAAAAAACAGTCATACGTATTCACAGAACAAAGCAAGAAACTAAACTTCTAAATACTGAATGAATGAGATCCCCGCTAATAAAATATAACAAGCTATACCAATTTTACATGTTTGTAAGAGTAAGAGAAAAAAATCATCGCTACCTTGCAATATCCGAACGTTGTACTCGTGAATGGTTATTTACCTTGCAAGCAAAAGTTTCTCTCTTGCACGGGGTTTAGCGTTTATGAAGTCGTTCGCATCGCTCGTTAGTCGAGTTGTTGGGTTGTTTTATACTCCTGGAGCGTTCACTAAAAACAAAGCAACTACTTGACTAAAATACGATGGAAACGACTTCGTAAAAGCTCAAAGCCATGCAAGAGAGAAACCTCTGCCCGTAGGGTAATAGCTATTTAATCTTGCCTTTCCATCAACAGACAGACGTTTTTCGTAAGGTCTGTAAGAAGCGTGTTTTTCAAATAATAAAACCGAGTCAATGTATCGTAGTTATTATTTGCTAGGAAATCAAATGGTACCATCAAGGGGTACTATTTAATTATCTAAAATGGTTCCTAACAGTAAAATATTCCATGCTACACGCTGCACAGAACACACTGGATCGCTTACAGAGCTAATGGAAAACATGAACACAGTTTCGGTCACTATCAGAAACAAACAAATATCCAGTATTGGAGATGAAAGCATCGCGAGGGAAGCCACCCTCAAAAAAACTCCCAGCTATCTGAGTGATATACTTTCCATCAAGAGAGAAAAGTTGCAGTCTTTTGTTCTCAGCATCGCAAACGATCAAACGGTCAAACTTGTCAATGACGAGACCAATGGGTTTCAAGAACTGCCCGTCACCAGATCCCTTGCTGCCAATGTCATGTAGATACTCCCCTGCGTTGTTAAATACCATGACACAGCAAGCAAGAGAAAAAGAAGCAAAGAATTTTTCCTGGTTATAAACGATAAAGTCCGGGTCTTCATGACAACCTGGGGCTTTGAACGACTGAAGTAAGTTTTTCCCATCAGGTGTAAGAACTTTGATTCTGTTGTCATTAAAGTCACTTGTGATAATGCGACCGTCACTGGAAACAGATATGTAGTACGGTGCCTTAACATGTTCACCACCGAAGTTGCTCATAAACCGACCATTTTCAGTAAAGAGGAAAATTCTCCAGCTCCACACCTCCAGCAAAGCACAAACAAGGAGGTCACCTGACTCGGTAAAAGTCAACGAACGAGGTTTACCATTCAAGGCAATCTGTCCCAGGAAATTTCCTTCAAAGCCAAACATCTGAATTCTTTTATTATTAAAATCAGCAACAGCGAGTGTTCTACTTTTATCATTCACAGCAATACCCCAAGGTGAGTTAAACCGTCCTTGTTCTCTTCCTTTAGATCCAAATTGAAACGCAAATTGATACTGATGCGGAATCACCTGAACAAACCATGGACTACCAGTCAGCGGCTGTCCATTAACTTGGATCTCTACTCTATGTTGTCCAACACACTGTGGTATGTATGTTACTGTGTACTTGCCGTCTTTGGTGTCTTTTATCTCTGTTTCCAGTTGATCACCTGCGGGACTTAATATGTTGACTTTAATCACATCCTATTCCTGATAACACCGTTTCTCATCCGAATTTCGGGTTACAATGGTAAAATTTGTTTCCGTCTTTTCTCTTACATCTTTCAGAGTTGCCACTTCAGCCAACGACAGCGAAGGATATGTGTCACTGACAACAATACGATCCAAAATCTTCACTTTCTGTTCAACCACATAATTTACGTGTGAAGGCTTATAAATGTCAGGCTTTCTGGCTTTTAGAAGTTCTTCACAGCGTTTAATGATACCTGGGTTTGTTTGCAGAATTTCAACACTGATGTTTCTTTGTACGATACTCTCACCTCGTTCAACGCAACTTTTCAGTTGAGTCAAAACCAACTCAAAGTTTTCTAGTTGTGTTGCGTGATGTTTTTGTTGCGCTTCATAAATTTCAGCAAATTTGGTTTTCATGACCCTCTCATGTTCCCGCAAATCGCGAATCAAATCTTCCACTAAATCAGTCATCTTCTTTTCGCACGACATAATTTCTTTCTTGTTCCTATCCATTAACTCGGTTTGTTTCTGTACTTTTTTCTCGTAAACAACGGTTTCCGCTTTCACTTTCTCCAAAGCGTCCTTCATCTGCATCTTCTGTACTTGTGCGGCTTTCTGAGTGTCTGTCATAGTGTGTCGATTATGGCTAACTACACTGCACTTGTGGCAAATAGGAACTTTGCATTCTTCACAATAAAATTCCAGCGGTTGATTTTCGTGATATTGCTGTGAACACATGACGGGTCTGTGGATCAAATCCTCCAAATCTTGTGCTTGCAATTTCTCTATCACAACATTACGATGACCTCTTGTGGCCTTCAAGCGTTGGTGAGCTTCAAAACAAGGAGTGCAGAGAAAGTTCTGGCACACGAAACAGTAAGAGGAAGCGGTGTTGTTCTCATCACAACTGCCACATTTTTGGGCCTGTGCGCCGCCATCTTTAAGAGCGAGAACATCCACCAGTCGGTTGAGATGGTAAGATGTGGGCAAGTTCTTGAACGAGTCTCCTTCAGGAATTTGAAAAGATGTCTGACAAACCGGACATGTGATTGTTGTTTGAAGCTGTCTTCTTACGAAGCCTGCATGTTTGTCGAGACACTCAAGGCAGAATGAGTGAAGACATGGCAAAGTCTTGGGATTGTTGACTGTCTCTAAACACAGTGGACACTCTGCTTCTTTCTGAAGATTTCTGAAGAGTTGTTGCACATCCATGGTCCAATATAGGTGGGATGATTATGCGTAACTTGATCAGAAATGAACTGTTGTAATGGACCTTAGACTTTCTATTTTTGTGTAATGGTAGAAATTCTAGCGCGCCCATTGGTCGACAGTTATTGTCTCAGTATGACAACGACTTTTACAGTGGTACTTTTTTTACACTTTGGTGAAGCGTCACGACGTGCGTGATTTTCCAGGAAAGTCTGCTGGTATCATGGGCATCCAAGGATCGGGCATCGTTTTGGCGAAGTTGTCATTTGAGCCCGCGCCACCATACCTTTGAGGATTTGAGCGCAAAAGCATGATGTTCCGGCTTTTTAACTCAACTTCGCCTGGAACTGAACTTTAAAGGAGGATCGTTATAACTAAACTTTTCAAGGGAAAGGCTTGAGGGATTGAAAAAAAATCCTGACCTGCAATGAAACCTCCATATCTTGCATCTGACCAATAGTCTTATATTTACAGCTTAAAATTAAGAATCTTGCTAATGCTTAAATTTTCTTGCTTAAGCTTAAACTCTCGAGATTTCAAGAGGCTATCGAAGCGAGCCATAAGAAAAGGCGCGAGCGAGAGGGGAGTGGGAAAAGGAGAATTTCTCCACCCCTCGCACTCACGTCTCCTTTAGCGTGCAGTTTTCGCGTGACTTCTCGCGACTCCCCCAAAAAGAGAGTTTGCACACAGGCTACATTCGCAATCATGCACTCTCTTGCCTTGGTAAAGGTTAATAGGTTAGCTCCTTTATAGCGAAGCTCTCGCGCGTGCAGCGCGCCAGCGGAGCACCATGGGTACGAAAATGAAGTAATCTACCCGTCCGAGAAAATTTGGTAATCACGTGACCGTACACCGACCGACCGCCCGCCTGAGAGACCGTCCGTCCAGACCACAGGCATACCAATGTAAAATAACTCAATCAACAGGAATGGCAACCGAAATGCAACTCGAGGTTATTTTTGCGGGAAATCGCATAGCCACCGGCGCCTTATGAAGCAGAGACAACAAAAGAGTCAATAAAAACGAAAACGGAAAGCGGACATTTTTTCTGTATCCGGGTTGTCTAAAGTATTAAGCTTAAGATAAATTGTCATGTCCACAAATTTGGAATATAGAGCAAGAGAAAGACAGAGAAAAAGAGAAATTGGGCGGCAGACCAGCGAAGCTCAACAAGAAAAAGGGCGACGGAGATTTTAAAAGAAAATTTTGTAGCGGCGGTGACAAAATGAGAAATGCTAGCGGCCACCAACGCAAGGTGAAAATGAGCGGCAGTGAAAAAAAGTGAACGAGGAAACGTACGACATTTCCTCCATAAAACGTGTAACTAAGAAGTTTCTGGAAGTTTCACGTTGTAGTCGGGCAAAACAAAGGCCAAGAAACGTACAAAAAAAGTGTGCTGCAAGTGCAAAGTTGCTTTTTTGCTAATTAGACCTATCGTTGTTTTTCACAGTTCGTCAGCGTTGCATGCCTTCTCCGCTTAGCATTACTATACAATATTTTATATTTTGTTTGAACAAGCTATAAATATTATCGAGAGCTTCGCTTTTAGCCCTGGCTAAATCTATATATTTTTTGGTATAAGCTTGTGTACAAAATACTCTTCAGTAGCTGTCAGTTTACACGTTAGGATTTATGGGAGCGATCTCTCTGTCGGAAAGGCCAGTATCATAGGCCCAATTTTTATTGCCATTTGTTTTTATTTAAAAATAATTTGGACACGCGTCGTGGAAACCAGGCCCTTTACTTTTACATCAAAATATCTGATAGCACGGTTTGCTAACTATAAGCCGTTGTTCTTTCTCACTGGAGCCGAACTAAGACAGAAAAGAACTTAATATCATTTTCCCTACTAGCAACTATGATGCTCCAGTTTGATAACGTAATATGATTATACAAACTATGCCCAGTTAAACTGCTCTTCTCGTCCATTAATCTTTGAACTGATAACAAGTAATAAATCTTCAACGGTAGCCTGATTTTGGTTTCGTCGATAGGAGATTTCTATGTGTTCTTTCTTGAGTACGAGGAAATCTCCCGGGGTTGATTCTAGGTTTCACTGACAGGCATAAAACTGCTCAGGTCGACAAAGAAAACTTCCATTTGATCAATGTTTAACGTATGACTTTTTTCCTTTAGTAGCTTCCGTAGCATCAATAACCGGTGAAAAGCGAATTTTACACCATTATTTGAGGTCTTTCGCCAGAGAGTCGGAAGTGGCTGCCCTTAATCCGAATGACGTCATTTGGTCATTTAGTAGCAAAGCCTTCGTCACGTGTTCCTTCCTTTCGTCCGAGTGGGAGCTGAGGCTACCAGATCATGGATATTCTGTTCCCAAACAAAGAAGTGAAGGATGCCAACCACTGATTAAGTTTTCTTTCCTTTCATATGTCCCTGGGTAAATGAAAAAACGCGTCTTCATGAATGAATGCATTTTTTTCTACTTACGGATTAACCCCAAAAGCCCTAAGAGTGATCAGCGTCATAACATAACATAACATAACATAAACTTTATTTATACTCGAATTTTAGAGTAGCTAACAAGCTAATATCTTCGAGCTGACACTACATAAAAATAATATAGAAAATATATATATACATTAAATGCATTATAAGAAATAATGATAAAATAATATTAATAATAATAAGCACATTAGAAAAAAAAAAGAAAAAAAAGAAAAAGAAAGAAAAGAAAATATTATTTACAATTCACAATTTTAAGTTTAAGTATGTCAAGCAAAAAGAATCTACATGAAGGTAATATCCTGTATTTTGGTCTTAAAGTCTGCAAAAAAACTGGTACGAAAAAGTCCGGCAGTGCATTCCACTGCTTAGCTGAAAAGTAAGAAAAGGAGTTAAGACCATAGGTAGTTGTTTTAGGTTTACTTAGTGAAAGAAAACATATTCTTCATATAAGTAGGAAAATGAGTGAAAAACAAACTCTTATGTAACAGAATGAGGAAATTTTGAATGCGTTTATTACACAACGAAGTAGAGCTGACTTTTGAGAGAAGAGTGTTGTATGGAGACGAGTAATCTCCAAGTATAAATCTAAGTATTCTTTTATTTAAAGCTTCAAGCTTATCCGCATCGCGCGCTCCACAAAAGTGCCAGACAGAGGAGCAATAATAAAAGTGAGGTAAAATATACGCTTTGTAAAGTTTGAATAAGATTTCAAATTTATCCTTGTGATATCAGTGCTTATAAAACAGCGTGGTCATGAGAATTAAGGACATGATCACACAAGATGAATCTAATTGATACTTCAACAAATTCTCCCTACTATTTCCATTGAAAACGCATGTAGTTAACAGATGAGAATTTAAATGTTGATGTTAGGGTTGAAGGGGTTAACACACAGCACATCAAACTAACACAAGCCCTCGGGGATACTTGGAGAGACTCCACCCCGAGGTCCAGCCCCTACCCTTTTATACACCATTTTTGACGGAAAGAGTTTAGTATTCCCTCCTAACCGGAGATCGAGCCTGGGACATCCAGCCCTGCAGACCAGGCAACGGTTCCTGAGGGACTGATTAGCGTTATAAATCTGTGAATAAATTTTTAAATATTTAACTGTACTTACCTTCCATCAGATTGTTTTCGATTATGGCTTTTAATTATCGTAACTGAAAACCAAAACCAAATATCTCCTGGCGTGAGGAAACAGCCCACAAATCGTAACATCATCAACGGTTTCCCCCTGGAAATGACGTCTAAGGAAGAGCGCCCAAATTCCATACTGATTACGCGGCATTACGTAGGTCTCGGTAGTGCTACTTTCAACCAATCAAAAGCACTTCTCAGATTAGGGTAGTGACACGTCATCTGTGGGGACATTTCTGCGCTCGTCCCTCCTCACGCTGGGAAACCGTTAGTGGCGTCACGAGACATCCGCTGTTTTCTCAGGTTAGGTATATCTCTAAGCAGGGAGTTTTAAAAATGTGTCCTAATTAACCCCGGATGTTCGACTTGACCAACCTTAAAGGAATTGGTCCCTGCAGCACCCTCCCAACTGAACTAAATTAACCTCGCCGTGTCACAAGCGTGTCACAAGCTTGCCAAAAGCGTAATCAGGACAATCTCTTCCGGATTGGGGAAGAGGGTAGCCTTTTGCTTTTCGCGCTTTTCTTCCTCTCCCCCTCCCGGGGCTTTTTGCGCCTGCATTACAGGCTCACACAGTGAGAACACAATGGCTCGCTCACATAGCTAATGGAAAACATAGACACAGTCTCGATAAGAATCAGTAACAAACAAATATCCAGTATTATAGATGACAGCATAACGAGGACGACCTCCCTTAAAAAATCTTCCAGCTATCTGAGTGATATACTTTCCTTCAAGAGTGAAAAGCTGCAATCTCTTGTTTCCCGCATCGCAAACGATCAAACGGCTAAACTTGTCAATAGCGAGACCAGTGGGATTCGAGAACTGTCCCTCACCAGATCCTTCGCTTCCAATGTCATGTATATACTCCCCTGCTTCGTTAAATACCACGACTCGACAAGCAGAAGAAAAGGAAGCAAAGAATTTCTCCTGGTGATAAACGACACAGACATGAGTTTCATCACAATCCGGGGCTTTGAACGACCGAGGTGAGTTTTTTCCATCAGTTGTAAGAACTTTGATTCTCTTGTCGCTAATTACGTGCTTTTCCGTCCTCGGCAGAAATGTTTAACATATAATCCCTCCATCAAAGCTTATGATCCAGCTAGAAAAGAAAGATTTTGTCAAATACCTTGGTGTTCTGATTGATTATGAACTTTCCTGGAAAAACCATATTAATCTAATCTGTTTAAAGATAAGTAGAACCGTGGGAATTCTAGCAAAGCTTAGACATAGTATTCCATTACGTCCCCTCTTAAATATCTATCAAGCCCTTATCAACCCCTATCTTTATTATGGCATCTGTGCTTGGGGCTCTGCACCTAAAACTTATTTAAATAAGATACTCTTAATTCAAAAACGAGCCCTACGCCTGATTTACTTTACGGATTATAAGCAACATGCTGTACCATTTTTCTTAAAATCAAAAGTCTTTCCCCTATCCTTTATTTACTTTGATTGTCTTTGTAGTATCATGTGGGACGTTGCTAACAATTCTGCAACTGAAAATATCAAGAGAGCCTTTACTAGGATTTCTGAGGTGCACTCATATCCTACCCGATCTTCTCTCAATGATGATTTCTAAACCGAACACTCAAGGCTTGAAAAAATGCGTAGTTCTTTTCTAAGAGTTGGACCAAAAATCTGGAATTCTTTACCCTCAGATATGAGAAACTTACCAAAATCTGCCTTTCGGAAAAAGATAAGGAATAAGCTCTTTGAAATTTTATCTAAATCTGATAACTATCTTGAAATCACTGAAATCATGCATCAACTTAAATTTAACTAGCTCAGGAACACAACTACATTTATATTCTCTGTGTAAATCATATTACAATTAAATTAGCTTAATACATACTATAGTTTTTATTTTGCGACAGCTGGTACTGTTTGCAAAATAGTTCTTTTTTTCTTTTCTTTCTTTAAATTTGTGTGTCTCTTCCCCCGCCTCGATTAGGTTCTCCTATACGCGGGTGGAAGCTATCGTGTAATAAATTGTAAATTGAAAGTGAATGAATAAATTTGAAGTTGAAAGTTGAAGTTGAAGTTGACCATCACTGATAACAGATACGTACAAAGGATCCTTTACATCTTCATCACCGATGCATGTGACAAACTGACCATTTTCAGTAAAGTGAGCGATTCTGCTGTTCAACAAGTCAAGAGAAACACGGAAAAGGAGGTCACCTGACTCGGTAAAAGCCAACGAATAAGGGTTACCCTTCAGTGCAATCCCTCTGAGAAAATTACCATCAAAGCCAAACATCTGAATTCTTTTATTATAACGATCAGCAACAGCAATAATTCTACTTTCATCATTCACAGCAGTATCCCAAGGAATGTCAAACTGTCCTTGCTCTTTCCCTTTTGATCCAAACTGAAACGCGAATTGATAATGCGGAACTACCTGCACAGCCCAGGGACTACGAGTCAGCGCCTGTCCGTTCACTTGAATCTCTACCCTATGTTCTCCAACATACTGTGGTGTGTATGTTACTTTGTACTTGCCGTCTTTGGTGTCTTTTATCTCTGTTTCCACTTGAACACCCGCGGGACTCAATATGCTGACTTTAATCACATCCTTTTCATGACAACACTGTTCCCCATCCGAATTTCGGGTTACAATGGTAAAATTTGTTTCCGTTTTTTCTCTTACATCTTTCAGAGTTGCCACTTCAGCCAACGACAGCGAAGCTAAGGATGTGTGTCAATGACAACAATACGATCCAAAATCTTCACTTTCTGTTCCACTAGTTAATGCAAGTGTGGCGGCTTATACACTTCAGGTTTTTTGGCTTTCAGAAGTTCTTCACAGTGTTCAATAATTGCCTGGTTTGTTTGCAGAATTTCAGCACTAATGTTTCTTTGTACGATACTCTCACCTCGTTCAGTGCAAATTTTCAGTTGAGTCAAAACCAACTCAAAGTTTTCTAGTTGTGTTGCGAGATGTTTTTGCTGCGCTTCATAAATTTCACCAAATTTGGTTTTCATGATCCTCTCATGTTCCCGCAAATTGCGAATCAATTCTTCCACTAAATCTGTCATCTTCTTTTCGCAGAACAGAAGTTCGTTTCTGTTCTTGTCCATTAACTCGGCTTGTTTCCGTATATTTTTCTCGAAGATAATGGTTTCCGCTTTCACTTTCTCCAAAGCGTCCATCATTTGCATCTTTTGTACTTCTGCGGCTTTCTGAGTGTCTGTCATGGTGTGTCGATTATGGCTAACTACACTGCACTTGTAGCAAATAGGAACTTTGCATTCTTCGCAATAAAATTCCAGCGGTTGATTTTCGTGATATTGCTGTAAACACATGACAGGTCTGTAGATCAAATCTTCCACATCTTGTGCTTGCAATTTCTCTATCACAACATTGCGATGACCTCTTGTGGCCTTCAAACGTTGGTGAGCTTCAAAACAAGGAGTGCAAAGAAAGTTCTGGCACACGAAACAGTAAGAGGAAGCAGTGTTATTCTCATCACAACTGCCACATTTCGGGGCCTGTGCGCCGCTATCTTTAAGAGCCAGAACATCCACCAGTCGGTTGAGATGATAAGATGTGGGCAAGTCATTGAAACAGTCGCCTTCGGGGATTTGAAAGGATACCTTGCAAGCCGGACATTTGATTGTCTCTTGTAGCTGTCTTCTTGCGAAGTCTGCTTGTTTGTCGAGACACTCGAGGCAGAATGAGTGAAGACATGGCAAAGTCTTGGGATTGTTAACTGTCTCTAAACACAGCGGACACTCTGCCTCTTTCTGAAGATTTCTGAAGAGTTGTTGCACATCCATGGTCCAATATAGGTGGGATGATTATGCGTAACTTGGTCAGAACTGTAATTTTGCAATGGACTACTACCTTTCATAGTTCTAAAATTAACAGCAAATTCCGCACGATTATTGGCCGACAGCTACTGTCAATGGCAGTCAATTGACAACGAATTTTTTTTAAATTTAAGTGACGCGTGATTTTCCGAGAAAATTTGCCGGAATTACTGGTACCCAAGGCTCTGAATAGAAAGATCGTGGTCGAGATAACCGTTGGAAGTTATACTTCTAGCCTCGATCTTCTATGGAGGTCGTATTTCCTTCCTACTCCCCTTGTTGTGAGGGAGGGGAGGGGGAGGGGCTATTAAGCGACGCGATACCGTTAAGTTATATTCTAATTCGCCACCCTCCCCTCCCCCAAACGAATATAAAACATTTATCATGTAATAAGCAACCACAATTGGGGTGCGACCCTCTTTATTATGCCTTCATCAACAAAATGGATGGGAATGATACAACAACCAGAACGAAAACTCGGGAATTTAAAAAATTCAGCTACAAAACCACCCTACAAAACGATCTAAACTATGCTCGTATAACTATGATACTGGTAAACGTGCTAAACCTTTCATATAGCAGCATGAAAAAACTACATCTAGGAGAAACTGATAACCCCTAGTCACTGGGTCACAAGTCTCGAGTCAAATTTATTGTGAAAATACGCTTAGCTATTTGTGAGAAATACACTAGCTACTGGTAATTCACATTGAAAAATAAATTGAATAGATAATTATAACTGAAACTGTATGTAAAATAGCTAATTAAACTGGAGATAAAATGTAATTTACATAATACTACAATAAAGCTAAAACTATTTACAATTATATTAAACCTGACAAGTCCAGTTTTCTAATACTATTTCTAAAACCCTTGAAAGATCGTATAGTTCTATATGAATCGGGTATTGAGTTCCATAGTTTCAGCGCTGTAAACGGGTTTACCTCGGTGTAAGAACCTGTGAACTTTTTCTTTGTTTCGCACCTTTTGTTTTTCTACGTTCTATTGTATTGACTTCTTTGTTTCCTCTGTTTTACGTCACTTGTGAGTTTAACAGGTTCTCACACCGAGGATGAGCCCTGTAAACCACCACGATTTAAGGCCTTATGTTGAAGAGTTGGTCATTGGCCGCTTTAAAATATCATTTCCCCTGCAGAGGTCGTGTTTATTGTTTCTTTGTTCAATCAGATCTTTAATCATGCTCTTTTGTGTATGTTCATTGTTAATGACACTGAAAACTGGCCATGCTATTTTAGCGAAGCGTTGATCACAGGCGGCCCAAGCTCAGTGTGTGAGTTTAATCGTTAACACATGTAGTTTCATATTGCGTAATTTAAAATGGCCGTGAATATAAAGGATTTGTATGGGAATTCAGGTAAAAGATTCAAATCGATAAATAGTCGCTAGAATGTTCAATAAAATACAGCTTACCGTATTTACTTTGCTTGTTTTTGTTTGCTGTGTAGTTATTTTTCCGATCCATTGCGATTTAAGCGATTTCCTTAAACCCCGAGTTTCCACTGTAAGAGAAAGGACAAGGCTTCACACTCCAGTTCGGGATGCCCCAAGCGAGAGGCGAAAAATCCTCAGCTTGAAATGGCCAAGCAGCCACAAATCAAACGCCGAATCCAAGCCAATATGTCCTTGTTTCATTTCATCTCATTAGCCGAGCAATCCGGCCACTGCAACCGACGCCAAGCGGCAGTTTGTTTTCCAAAATCCAAGACAAAACGACGCCGAAGGGGCGAGTACATTTTCACCACGACACACGACCGTTGAAAACCCGTTTGGTAACCCTGCCTCCACTGCAAGCTAAGCCTCACCTGGGTACTACACCGTCACTTGTCATCAACAATTTTTGATTCGAACCCTCTTGTCAAATCGACCCGAGGGGAGCCGGGGTTCGAGTAAAAAATTGTCGATGACAAGTTTTCAACGGTCGTGTGTCGTGGTGAAAATGTACTCGCCCCTTCGGCGTCGTTTTGTCTTAGATTTTGGAAAACAAACTGCCGCTTGGCGTCGGTTGCAGTGGCCGGATTGCTCGGCTAATGAGATGAAATAAAACAAGGACATGTTGGCTTGGATTCGGCGTTTGATTTGTGGCTGCTTGGCCATTTCAAGCTGAGGATTTTTCGCCTCTCGCTTGGGGCATCCCGAACTGGAGTGTGAAGCCTTGTCCTTTCTCTTACAGTGGAAACTCGGGGTTAAAGGAAATCGCTTAAATCGCAATGGATCGGAAAAATAACTACACAGCAAACAAAAACAAGCAAAGTAAATACGGTAAGCTGTATTTTATTGAACATTCTAGCGAGTATTTATCGATTTGAATCTTTTACCTGAATTCCCATACAAATCCTTTATATTCACGGCCATTTTAAATTACGCAATATGAAACTACATGTGTTAACGATTAAACTCACACACTGAGCTTGGGCTGCCTGTGCGTTGATTCACAAGTGATGGTAAACCCAGAAAAGGCACTCTTTTCGTTTACGTTCTACCGACAAATGATACCCTTTTCACACACCAAGTATAGAATTTGCATCCACTTAAACTGCTGTAAATCAACCGTATTTTATAAATGAATAAATCAGTTAACCAGGAAGTTGTCTCTTTTAAATCTGTCTGCGCCTGTTAGCCCTTTTTGGTCCTTTTTTAAATGATAGATATCTCTAACCTTAGTTCATAGAATTCAACTAATGAAATACCTACCCCTTCATTTACCTGAAGCCAAAAAAGGAAACTCCGTACTGGTCATTATAGAGAGTACCCCCCACCTCCCCGTTCCAACAAGCCAAATCATCAGAGTGAGAAAAGCAAAAACGGCTGTCTGTTATTGTCAATGTAATTCAATACTACCAGAGGAAACTCTTTTTTTTTTCAGCCGAAACTGGAGATGTCCTTTTGCAACGTCGCGTGCTTAGCCTAACCAACCATCAGAGATCAGACCCAGCAAACATACCATTTGACTTTTGAGGGGAGAGGGAGGGGATATGGGTGATTATCCCGCAGACTGGATTCGATGGGGAAAAAAATGACTTGCAAGGAAATACCTTGGGAAAAAATGTCCTGCATTGTAAAAAAAACTCTCATGACGTACAATGCTTGAAAACAATCCAGAGGTTTGCGAAAAAAAATTCTTCTCGCTTTAACCAAACCACCCATATCCCCGTCAAAGGCAAATGGTCGACCTCTAAATATACAAAGGAAGGTTCCTTAAAGAGGGAACAGCCTTATGAGTAGCACTAAGTGCTGTTATCAGTGAGGGTCAAGGACGACATTGGAGCCCATTATAACCCAGATACCCGGTGCTCTAACCACAGACCAACGAAAAGTTTCCTATGGAGCTAAGCCATTTATTGATTTCTCCGTGACGTCAAGCGAATTTGCATCAACATGCAAGGAAAAGCAGTAAAACAAGCATTCCCTGTGGTGTGATGAAAAATA